TTTTTTTTTTTTTTTTTTTTTTTTTTTTTTTTTTTTTTTTTTTTGTTGGGAGTTAAGAGACTTAACTTATAATTTAACAAAATACTATTCAACGATTAAGAGATTTCATTTATTTTACGAACACGTAGGTTCAAGTCTCCCTCATCAAATATGGTGTAATATTCTGAACAAAAAATACAGAGATCTGCAAGAAATAAAAAACAGAAACGATCAAACCTCAAAAATCCATGAGTTGGGAAAAGAAAGAAAAAAAAAAAACTCATGAAAAGCATGAATATCTGGAATCCCTGCAAATCACGCATCCAACCAGCAAACAACCCATCAGAGCAAGACACTGAAACAAATCATGGCGTCTATATTTAATCTCCCATTATGAAGAGATCCATATTCATCATAAGGTAAAAAGGAAACCCCCATATATCTCAATCAACAGATAAGCATCATCTTGTGGAATCAGTGTAGAAAGAAAGATTCAATGACCTGAAAATCCAATCAAATCCAATAGAAACCAATAAACTTTTTGATTTTCTGTGCTTGATCTTTGTTTCTCGCGTGTATGGTCATATTTCTCACCTCTTTCTTCCATATTCGTTCATCTCAGTAAAATAGCAAAAAGGGGAAAGAAAAAAAGTAGAGATATATTACAAACTCAGACTTTGATGATTCGAGTTTTGGAACGTACTGTTGAGAACAAAACTTTCCACTATGAAAAAGTACTGTTGATAAGAGCTTTGAATGAAAGTCTCCTCTGAAGTCTCTGGTTTCCATTTTCCTTCTGTGAAGACCTCGTGCATTGCATTGCTTCGTCCTTCGCCTTGCAAATATATAGTAGCAAGAGTTTGTACTTTAAGATGATATATATATATATATATATATATATATATATATATATATATATATATATATATAATGTATATATATATATATACACACACAAGCAAGCTTTCCATACAAAACTGATAAATGAAGCCAACCCAATCAATTAAAATTAACAAAGATTTACAAACCATCCAAAAATCTTCTAAACCACCTGCACGGAAAATAAACATCATAAAGATAAATTCTAGCAGCAAGGAAAGGCAGAAAAAATGATTATTGTACGTGATACACAAGGAAAGTTCCAGCTTGACAGATTCCAGTTATTTCAATTTTGTGTTAATAGATCCTTGATCCATTCAAAATTTTTAAATTTATTGACCACTACAAAATTGAAAACTTACGGTCTCATTAGATATAAAATTCAATTTTGTATCAATTACTTTTTAAAATTTCAAATACAGGACCACAAAATTGAAAGTTCAAAGGTTTATTGGACACTTTTAAACGTTAAGAGACCAAATAGATGCGAACTTGAATACAAAAGTTTAGGGATTTTATATCACCAAAAATGGATTCAGATAACACTAGCTATAAGGAAATGGTCATCCTCCTTCCAGAAATGCATGCATAGATGAATTTGGGGCGTGGCCCAACGGAAGGCTGTATGTTAGAAAACTACTCCACTGTATTATAAGTAAATTGAAAAAATGCGAAGAGATTTTTTATATTCAACTGAATCTATAACTATTAAGTAACTGGAAAGAACAGTCATTACTTGTTGACAGTATATTCTACGGTGATTATTGTCAGAGGTCATTCAGAGATGGTTGAAAAACTTACTCTCTTTGTGCAATTGAAAAACAT